AGGGGGCAATTTGATTTTTCAAAACTATGAAAGTTCTTTCTCTCTCATACGTTTTACTGTACTAACATTTTTTTTAGTTTTCATCTGTATTGAAAGTTTTCAACCGTTCAACGTCATACCATTATGTAAATACATATCATACATACATGTACCTGTTTTGGGTATATAGCAGAGGCATCGAAACCGGGCGAAGACAAGCGGAGGGGGCTACCCCCCCCCCCCCACTTATTTTGGAAAGATATACATGTAAATCACATAAGCATTAAAATGCGGCTTATCCTTTTTGGGGTTTATTACTCCCTTCCCCCTTTTTTTGTTACAGACATCTATGTATTGGAATGATAAAGATTTGGACTGACAGATCTTCTATCTGTCTTCTTCTCTTTTCGACGTGAGTGAATCAATGCATAAGCGTTTTGAAAGATAAATTACAAATAAAATATTCCATTACTAGAATCTGAATCCAGAATTTTTTTGTTTTTACATATTTTTTCAAAGTGCGTTAAGTGTTTCCATGATAAAATATATTGATGTAAACTCTTAACGCACTTTGAAAAAAAAATTCAAAGTGCGTTAATATGGTCCCAAATTTAACGCATTTTGAAAATTTTTTTCAAAGTGGGTTGAATTTGTCCCAATTTTAATGCACTTTGAAAATTTTTTTCAAAGTGCGTAATTTTTTCAAAGTGCGAAGCCACATCCCATCTACAATAAATGTTTTGTTATTGATTATAATGATTATTTTGTCTGCTTTTTAAGGGTTTATTTTCGTTTAGAAGTGCATAATACTTTTTTATAACTTATTTTGTCGATTTATACATGCATGTTGAATGTTGTATCTCAAGATATGAAATACATGTAGATGTGTCAGACTCTGTGGTATCTTTTAAATTTTTGTAATAAAAATTGAAATGAGAATGCAAATATAATTTTGGTCAGATTTTAAATATGTAGAGCAAGTTTTCGACGTTTAAGAAACTTAGGACTTGACGCTGTCGACGAGAAATAACTGTACCTACCATAATGCACTAAAAACTGTATAATAGCAATGCCTGCACGTCATACTTTGTACACTGATAAAAATGAACAATCATTGAACGAAATGATTCTTCGCATATTTTTTCAATATCAAAAAAGTTTGATTTTTTTTAAGTCAACAAAAACAAAACGGATATATAGGGTCAGTTTTCAAATACTTACCATATTACTTTATAATCATGTTATAGATATGTGTCAAGGGAAAATCTCTCATATTCAAAAAATACCTGACAGTGTGAAAAAATCTTTCAACCTATCATAAACTCTCGCTTTATTTGTTCGTGAGATGCACAAGGTCATACAGAATGGAGAACAAAATAAGGAAGTGTTACATTATACTTGAATGGATCATAATCATTCGACAATCATGCATTTAAAGATTCACATTGGATGTACAGATATTTGATCCTCTGATAGAATTTTTACAATGTCTAAGGGATTACTTAGCTATACATATTATTGTAAAGCACAAAAAAACATGCTAAATTAAATCTGTAATAACTTATTGAAATTAGTACCCGCCATATATCGTACATGCCAAATTAAAAAAAAACAAACAACATTTACAGTATTTTTGATTTCCTGTAATACAAAAGCATAGGGGGTGCAAAAGAAAATTACAATGCAACCAAATTTTGTTCTGATAAATTAAGAGTGGACAATTGTAAAAGTTGTAGCCTTTATTTCAAGACCGAAATTTTCATGAAAAATATGGTATAAATAACAGTATTCAAGCTCTAAACAAAGCTCAAACGAAACAAATCACAAACAAGATAAATGCTGTCTTCTAAAACATCAGAGGTGGTACAAGGTGCATACGTGGAATAAGCATTTCCTTCAGACCGATCACAACCGCCACGTGTTCCTTGTCAAGATCGCGAATTAAAGAAAAAGTCAGTCTATAACTCTGTGTTCTAATGATGGCTCAGCAATTTATTACAGCTGATATTAACATCTTTATAAAAAAGGTGATATGAACGACCACATTTTTTTAATGAATATTAAACCGACATATAGAATTCAAGACATATACATGTAATTTGACAAAAAACAACCAAGACAACGTTTGTAAGGAAATAAACACTGTCTTCCTGCTTTGAAACACAGAGTTTTAGTTTTTCTCCAGCTGCATACGTCATATACAGTAAACATTTGTCTAATCTGGATTTTGAGTACTCAAGTTTTTTGCTCATTCCGACTGTTTATCATACATACACTTTTTTTTTTTTTTAAAAAAAAGTCTATTAAAATATCTGTCCGCGGTATATTGTCGATTCAGTTTTCCAGACGACCATACTGGTCATAAAATGGGTAATTATTTCCCTTGGTCCGGCCACGAATAATAACTTGAGTGTAAAAGCAACAAGAAAACATTGATGTAACCATCAATTATCGCCCGGGAAATAATTAAAGTCAAGAATGGAAATGAGTCTTCATCGATATATGTAAAAAAGACATGCATGTAAATGTTGGACACGATAGTTGAGAATGTTTTGAAAACTAATAGTCGGATAAAAATCGAACAAAAACTTTTAAACTTTATTGATTCCTAAGGTAAATGTTAGCTGCATAAAATATAAATTGAAACCAGATACATGCATCACCTATTAACAAAAATGTATATCACTTTAAGAATATAAAACACGAACTGTATAGAGTACATTTTTTATGCGAAAACTAAAATTAGATGTTCTTAAAAAAAAAAGGACCTGTCGTTTTTTTCGATAGTAAATTATCAGCAAATTTATATATTAGATATGAAAAACATATATATTTTTACAGCTAAAGATTCAATTTATAGAAGTAAATATATTGTGTATCTCGTTATTTATAAATAGAAAGAACATTCTGACTAACAATCTTTTGAATGGAAATTAGAAAACTTTTAATTCTGAATAACTAATCCTACACCAATTCCCATATACCAACACTTAAATTTATATGTATAGTACAGCCCGGTCCTCTGGGCTGCAATTAACACTTTTCGTTGTAGGAGTGCCAATGTATGTTTACATTAGTTCCATGAGAAGTACTGAGACGTGGCGGCTACACATCCCAAGTAAAGATTGATTCATTAAATAAATATTTTTTGTTTTCATTCAAGAAAAGTTAACTCATAGAAACGGCACCATATACCTGTGAAAGCTAGGCTTCAAATTGTAACAATGTATAGGCACTTAGGGACATTTACCAATGAGCTCATGAGAGCGGATAAAACTTTTTTGGTATCTTGCGCACAGGTGTACTGATAAATGATCGACTAATTCAAAATTTCTAATTTAAAGTCATATTTGGTCATCAAAACAAAATTCAGTTTCCCTGAGTATTTCTTTTATAGCAACCTAAATTGAGACAGGTACAGAACACTTGAACCGTTTTAGCCTTTTCCTACATCATTTGTAACGTATCTTTGCTTAAAGGGGGGGGGGCGCACTAGGGTTTTATTGCTTGAAAACTACAGTAGCGAAACTCTTTACTTTTATACTATTTATAACTACCATTGCCTCAAGTGCATATGCCAAACATGCGGAAAATCTATCGTCCAGGTATTTACAAGGAGTTGTCTCAAAATAAAGGTACATTCACTATAGGTCTGCATTATATAGGAAACTGCCATTTTTCAGAAAATTATACAAATACGTTTTGCTCAAACTATAATATATGATGAGTAACATTATATTGTACATTATATGAAAGAAACACAAAATTTCTTGCTTTATAGAGTACTACAAAATATGTAGGATACAAGGGATTTTTACAAAAAAAAAAAAAAGAAAGAATAATAATAATTAAAGGAACATTCTCATTTTTTTGTTTTAAATTTCAAGAGCATACATTAATTTTTTTTTCTTTTATAACATTTTCAAAACCCCTTTTTTAGAGCTTAACATTATCATAACATCGAAAACACAATTCTACGACGCCTATATACGCATCAGTAAGATCATTATTTTACAAAGCAGATATATGAAATTGTAATTAAATTTTTCAACGTATTATTTCTTAATTTTATCATTTTTTTAATAAAGTGAAAAAAATGCTTATAAGCAGTAAATAAGCTTCATTTTAGCGAACTATTGCGCAATAGAAGCTACAGTCGGTTCCTTTAAATGAATTCATTAGATTTTAGTTAAATGTTTTTAGGATGTTTTCTTAACAGGTTTTCATATATAAAAAAAAACAGAAATCATACATAAAATCGACATTATTATGCACTTGAGGGAGTTTAAATTAAAAAAAAAACATGAAAGAGTAATTAATTTCAAAAGTCTAACAAACACCTCACATCTGCCTAAGGAACATAAACACGGACGGATCCCGGAACTATCAGAGCTACGTGTAGGATGAGGTGCCATGGAGAAACGAGGATCCCTTGTTTATCGGTGTCAATTCCGTAACCCTTATAGCCAATTGAACAATTTGAAGGTATATTCCGAAGGCAAATTAAGTTAAAAATATAAGCCTAACAAGTCAGCAAAAATACAACTCACTGATAGTTTTTATTCGATTAAAGTGTTTCTGAAGATAAACCGATATACAACAAATGCAAATGAATTTTTTAGTATATTAAAGTATATAAAATGACAAGAATGTATTATTTTATATGTGCATTGTTCTGTACGTTTTAATGTTTAAATCAATGACATTCGATTAATTAAGGTTTTTTCTAAATAAATGTTCAAGCAATTTTTAATTTACAACAAAAAGCATATTGATTTTTAAAAATAAAAAAGGATAAATAAATAACAAGCAAGCTACATGGATCACAAATTAATGAAATCAACACATGTTCTGTTTTTCATTATCACCCTTTATGTTAATTTTTTTCATAACAAATTGTTGTATCAAAGTTCTTCTGATACATGTATGTCTTTGAAGAATACCTTGAGGAATTGAGGAGAACAAAGCTTTACATAATCTCGAAAAATCAAATTATTAGGTTACACATGTACAAAATGCATCTCTCACTGCGTATGTCACACAATTTCGCTCCTTTTAGTAGTTTGCATACACACTATCATTTTGAATGTATTCTGCCACTACTTCATGACAAAGCTGGTATTCCTCCTGGAAGAGATAATGAACATATGGAGATAACGAACAGTATTCAAGATCAAAAGTCCATAAAACAATACAAAATGGGAGCAGAGCAAACACGGACCCCCAAATCATGAGAGATGGGATCAGGTGTCAAGGAGGAGTAAGCATCCCAAACTGACCTGTCACACCCGCCGTGTGCCCTCTGCCACGATCGAGAAGCAAAGGAAAATTCCGTCGTCAATTCAGTGCATAAATAATGGACTAACAATAAGTATGAACAACGTCAGTCAGCATTTGATTCAATGATAATGAGAATAACTTTCTAGGGAGAGAGGACATTGTTTAACTAAATTAATGATCCTAAAAGAGCCTTCATAAGAAGAAAATGGATGTACATACTAATGTTGACACAAACTCCGTTCTACGGATCTGAAGTTGTCGTGTGATGGTAAAGATGTCCACTTCCTGATCAATTGAGAGTTGTTCTAGAGCGTTATAAATCACACAGAACGCTCCACAACGTGTGGCACCATCACTATCATGGTGGAAACATTATTAATTTAATGTCAACGATAATGAATTTAAAAATGAAGGATATGGATAAAAAGTGTTGAATAATCGCAAAACAGTTGAACTGTTGTTAAAGACGTCCACTAATAATGAATTACCGATTTCAAAACTAAAGATTTCGTTCTTGTTAGCTAAATTGCTTTTCTCTGAGCTTTGATATACTATAACAATACTCATATTTAATATACACTGTAATAAGATACACATATCAAAGTTTTTTTTTGTTTTTTTTTATTATTATTTTTTTTTATTATTATTATTATCATTAAGGTGCATGATCTTCAAGCTATTTCTAATTGCTTCATTTTTACCAAAAAGAGAGTATCGCCTAAAAGAAAAGTACCTGGATAGAATAAGAATTTTTCCTTCCTTTTGGTTCAGTTTTGCAGCCTTTGTTTCCTTGACCAGGTCCAGTAAGGCTTTTTTGTCTTTTATCATCCTGTTTTCCTTCCAAACCTTACATTCAAGAACTGTGGTTGTCATGGTTCTTGATCCCTGCAGGAAAACATCAATGAATTAATCCAATAATTAGTTCAAAGTTGTGAAAATAATATTTGAATATATTATACACACTGCTCACCTCTGACAGTAGAATTATATTTCTCGACGTAAAATTTGTTGAGTTTGTTGAAGATGACAATTTGATTGTGAAACCTCCAACAGTTTTGTGTTCAGATTTAGATGGAATCCAATGTGTTGACTGAAGACGAATAGTTAGAATATGAAACTTGTTAGTACCTTTCTTTAAAATACCAAACAGTACTCTGTGAGAAATAATAACCTTAAGAGAGTTTTTTTTTTAAATATTTTGTATCTAAGTTTCTTGCCACAAAGTATCTTATACCATTTCCTAAAGTTAGGTCTCTCATATTTGATAAAAATACTCTATAAAAAAAACATCGTAAGTATTTGCTTTAAATGATTGTTAAAAAATACTATAATATATATTTCAGTAATGATTCCTACAGATTTTATTTCCTTCAAAGGACCAAGGAAAACCAAAACACGGGCGTCAAAATCTCTGATGAGTCTGAGGAAGTCCTCAGTGAAGTCAGGAAGTGGGTACTGGGCGCTGATCAGACTGTCGTTCTTTGTGAAGGACTAAAAAATTCAGTTTTAGAAGATAATTTTAAAGAAATGTAAGTGTTTCCAATTTTCAAGATGTTAAAGCCCGTTTACCATCATTTGAGGGGAAAAATTCGATTCGTTCCATGAAGTTTTGATAATGACGACTAAGAATATATTACGTAAGATGACTGAAATATTTGATAAAATATAACATTATAAGTCGGACCTGGAGAAGAACAGCATTGTAGTAGTTGTTGCGTCCCTTTGTATAGGACAAATAGCACAGGAATTCTTCCACTGAAATTTAAACCGTGAATAAGAATTAACAAAAATCGACTTTACATAATGACAGTGTATTTATATTAATTGCACTGTTGAACTGTGTACTTCATTACTCTAATACTTATGAAACATAAAATGCATGTAACAGTTTACTTTATATACTTTCAATATGTGTATTATGGTGTTCATACTTTTGTGTATTTCATAATATACCTGGAAGGACTTCTTCCGTGTAGTTTGCAGTCAGGTATTTTCTTCCTGACTCATAGTCCTTTTCTGTATACTCTTTACGCAGAGACAGTAATTCCTACATGTAATAACACAAAAATTATTCAGTTCTACCTTCTTTGAAGATGGTATAAGTAACTGTATTCAATCAATAGTCAAGACGACGTTGTTTAATTATTCTATTTATACATTGTTTTGTTGAAAAACATTTTATTACAGATTTAAACGTTTTAAGATTTTCATGTAACAAATCGGAAAGAAACAAAAGTTATAATGTAACCACCTGAAATTCGGACGACAAGGATGATTTCCCGGCAACTTCTCCACAGTTTGTGTAACAAGACTGTTTTTGAAGCTCTTGTAAAAAGGACTCTGTTGATAGACATCTGGACTTTCCATTGAATGACTCACAAAGAGCAAGATAAACTGCTTTATATTGGTCCTACGATGAAAGAAAAGTATTGCTAGCTTTGATTTTGTTACAAAATTGCACACAGCATTTGAGATCTACATATTTGCAGATTTTTCCGGTCTTCGGTAGATGCCTACTCCTGTTGGTCACCTGAACCCACCTAAACGTCTTTGCTCAATGGTCTGTTACTTTGTAAGTTTTGGGGACTGTTCGTTATCATATTTTCATTTTATTAATGCTCTCTGTGTTAAAATAATTTGTAATTGATTTTACAAAAAGCATGCAAAATAGCATTATTTCAGGTCTAGATACGCAAAAAAGTATAGCGATATGATATAAAGACAAAATTCTTAACACATTATATTAGGAGTTAATTTACAGTGTAGTTAATTTATAGTGTCTGAAAACCATTGACAATATGCTACCGACCATTATGAAGCAAATTGGTTCATATTCTTTTCTTTTATCATTATGTTAAAAATCCAGCATGTAAAAATGGCTGTATAAGATATTTTTTAAAGTAGAATTTCTATCAACACGTTATAAACCATGTGCCCTGTACTCACTGTATTTGTACATTATATTTTATTTAAATGCCATTGAAATCATCTAAGCCTAAATCAACTAATGGTTAGCTAATACCTAATAGATAAGATTTATTGGCTGCAATGAAGAGTGCACATAGACATCTTGTTTGGATCATAAAAATGTAAATCTTAAGGCCATTAACAGATATTTCTTTTCTTTAATGTATAGGGAAACGAGTATTTTTTACCTAAAATAGTGAAGCGATAACAAAAAACGAACATAATGCGGAGTTTATACCTTAAACTATGATTAGATCTCCTTGGAGGAAACACACTAAGAAGGATTGTTTTTGTTGTAAAGTAAGGGAAACATTTCAAGACCAGTGACAAGCGTCACCTTTTACAGCAGGTTACTTAAAGGAAATATTATCCTTTGTGTTCACCTTTTGAAAACATAACTATTTGCTGATTAAATATAAAGCCCCAATTTTGTTCCGTGAAAAACAAGATAAATAAGGAAACATGCGGATAAGATGAATTTAGATTGGAAGTTAATGTGTCTCTTTCAGCGACTTCTGTGTTAACAACGGAAATGTTAGGCTTTCTAAATTGACTGAAAGAGTGTCAATATTTTCCCTATTGGATCCTAAATCCGTGAGAAGATGACGGTTAAAGGCTATCTGCTGTTAAATTCACTTCTAATACTAATGCTTTATTAAGCCTATGAAGATGCACAAGTTATATTAATAGAAATATGTTAGGTTTATTTGCTCGATTAATATTTTGACGACCATAAAGAATAAAGCTGTAATCTGGAATATTCCAAAAAGCCTAAATACAATAAAAAATGCAAATCTTACATCGCCTTGTATCATATTCATTCTGTCTTTTCTCATGGTTCTGACGTACATCGGTACATTGACTTTCCCATTTCTCTCCCCTTCCCGATAGAGGGCGTCTAAAGCTATGTATGTTCCGGTTCTCCCGATTCCAGCGCTGTTAAATTTTTACAGAAGTTATATATTTTGATCATTTCTACTTCTTCATTTATCAGATTTAATTTCAGACAAAACTACAGGCTTTTGTGTTTATTTTTTGTCATTTGTTTAATAGGTCAGATCTGAGACGAAAAGAAATTTCAATTTAAAATCAACACTAAATCAAAGTTTTATTTTCAATATTATTATTTGGGATGCCTGCATATGCATTGTTCAAAAAGTCTTTGGATTAATTTACTTTCATTATAAAATGTATTATACTGATAGAAGTTGGTATTAATCTGATAGGATACTCAAAAACATTATGCAGAAGAACAAAGTGTCCAACAATTCGTTTAATGGTTATAATCTTTTATAAAGAAATTTAAATACGTAAAAACAGATTCACAGCAAGTTAGATGGACGTTTAAATAAACAGAGTGAAAGAGAGAGATTTAAATATTTAAATTTAATAACTTTATGAAACCTGCAATGTACTAATGTGTATTTTCCTTTGTTTTGCGGAACCTTTTTCAACACCTGGCGATGAAATACAACAAGATTGAGTGGATCAGGAACCCCATGGTCTGGCCATCTTGTGTAATGAAACATCACCACCTCACGGTCAATTTGTTCCTATAAAGCGATAGATAAGAGAAACTTCAATGAAGATACTTTCATTGACATTTAAAATCAAGTTTTAAAAGACAAGTTTTTTTTGTATTGAAAATTAAAAAAAAGGATTTTGTTTTCAACTCAATCATATATTGTTAAATTTATTACGTTTAAAGTTCATAGATTTTTCTTTTCAAATCGTAGGTTACATTTTTTTAAATTCTCATGAATATTTTCTAATATTAAATCTTTTCCCTTGTACTTACATGTAATACACGTTCAAAATAGAGCAGTTTAAATTGAGTTTGTTTTTTTGTTTCTTTAATTATTGTTTAACATCCATCTAGGGAATACATCACTTATTAAATGGAGACGCCACCACTGCAAATTTTGACATATACTCGGCTCTTATAGTAATAAAACAGTAGATGCTCTTTTAATTTTCATGTCAGCATCTACTGCAATGCATAATCTCAGTTTATAGGATCACAACGTCCAACAGTGGGATTCGAACTTGCAAAGTATGGGTCAACTCCTTACTGAAAGATTCTAAAAACGAGTTGTTAAAGAGATCTTAAATAGCATAATCTCTAGAGTTCAACAATTTGTTCCAAAGCACTGGGGCCGAAAATTTACAGAGATGAACTACTTTTGTCGTCAACCAGTTTTTCAGTGATCATTTTGTATAGTAAAAATTTGTGTTTGGAAAAAGGGGGACTGGTCCCGTTGAAATATGTACCTGCTGAAAATTGGAAATTTTGATTTTTTGTGTTACAGCTGTATTTATAAACTTTTAAGCATTTTGATACATGATTTTTATGCTATGTATCCAGAAAAGATAATATGTCTATTTCTTTTCACGTGCTGTATCTTTGTAATCAAACTTGATTGGATGAGGATGAGGCGGCTTAGGGTTATAGGGATTTCATAATTACATATATTACGGTACATGCATGATACGGATATAAGAGAGCAATAAAGTTTTTCACTATAATTGACTATTGGCCTGAGAGAAATAAATAAGAACCCGAATTATTCTATATAGAGGGTTATTTTCGCCCTTTCATGCTTTAAAACTATTTTGTTCAGTTTGAGTTTGCCGATACATATTATTGCTCAAAAATTAACTGTTATTTATGTTTTTTGGTCATATTCGCCCTTTTGCGATGACAGCAAAACATTAAACAAAAATAAAATTAAATTATCGGGAATAAGTTTTTCTTGTACATATACAAGACATATGGTATTGCAAAAAACAACTAAAGAATCTTTATTTTAGTGCTACTCATGCTGTTAAATTATTTGTTTAATAATTCCCTTTTTGATATTTTGAATGATATATGATATTAGAAAGTATTTAATGTGTTTAAACTTTAATCCAAGCCATTGAAATGATACTTGAATCATTTTTAAATTTTAAAAAGACCAAACAATTTAAAATAATTATCTTCATCCACCAGATTTGTTAAATATGGTCCATTTAAATGGATATATGTTTAAAATAACAAAGAATTTACGTTGCATTGTGAATAAAGACGTCATTTTTTTTCTATCGGAAATATTTTCTATTCACGCACTCGGGATGTTCTTTGATTCTTTGTAGAAAGGTTAGAAGGTAAGGAACTAGGCACCCAATTTTGTACAAAATTACGACTGTGTGTGGCGTTATCCTTTAACCCCCTTCCCCGCAGTCACGCATTTTAACGCATATACAATTTCCTACTTCTAACGCAAAATCACGCATATACCGTTTACCCGCAATCGTGCATTTTAATGCACTTTAAAAAGTTCATTTTATCTTCAATTAGTTGCCAAATTCCTTCTTTTTTTAAACTTGCTTAAATCTCATAAAATAAGACAAGTTATTATCTTATTTAAATATTACGTCATATATTTTTTATTTACGCTTAACTTTAGAGAAACTCGTACCACGCTGTAAGGTACTTGCGGGGAAATGGTAACATTTATGACGTTACATTAAGTGTATGTTGCAGTATAATTTAGTGAGTTGTAAAGATTTAAAATGCTTAAGGCGTCTATTTTTCTGCGCTGCAACGCCAATAAACGTTGCCTGTCTCAATTGTGTTTTCAATAACTAGGGATTACCGACCGAAATTATTGTTTAATTGCAGAAAATTAGATGCAGAACAGTAGCTCTCCGGAAAATACATTGATAGACCGGAGAGCTACAGTGCCACCCTGAAAAACTGTATATTTATTGCGCACAAAAAGTTGCGCGTGTGTATAGATTAATTCTTCTAAATTCTTACCTCAGTTGCAAAAACTTTAGATTTCAAAACATTCCGTACTCTTCCATCAAAAACTTTCGTACTTGACATCTGCACGAAGCGCGTTCGGCCGAATTATCTTACAAACCAAATAGTATAGTATAAACAGATGAAATTTTCGATGATCTCGATTTCAGGGCCAGGAGGGCTATAAACAACATCTATAAGGTATATATTGCTGTGGAAACAGTGAAAGATTATGTTCAGAATACACGGATAGTAATATTTTGAGGTTTTAGTTTTAAAAACATGGAGAAATAAGTCTATAAACAGCGCACTTTTTTGTGCGCAATAAATATACAGTTTTTTCAATGGGTGGCACTGTAGCTCTCCGGTCTGTCAAATTATTTTTTCTTAGAGCTACAGATCTGCAGCTAGCAGAAAATATAACAGTTACCTTGAAATTTTACAAATTGTAACAGAATAAATGTGTTTATAGTAAATAAAATTTTTTGTCGGATCATCATTGAATACCTATTTAAAAAAAAAATAATATTAGTAAGTCGTACGTTCTCCATTGAAACCCAAATTTTTTCGTTGGATGTTAGTCCCTTTCCTCTTCAAATTGAAGTTTTAAAAGAAAATAATTCTTGTTTATATTTGCTAGAAAATTTATAACTATAGGAGTTTTATCAACACAAATACATTCAAAAGATATTTGTCTTTATAGGCCTCCATATTCATTTTAAAAAACGGTTAAAAATGTTGCATATTTTCCATGGTTTGTTTTTTTTTATATACAAAAGGAACAAATTTTATCAAAATTACATATTATGTTCAGGATTTTTGTTAAATTTTACAATTATATGTATGTAAATTAATGATTATTGCCATGCACATGCGTACTCGAAATTCTACGGTGAATCAGGTTTATATAAAAGGTGTGTGTATAAACATTAATTTTTCATTCGGCTGTATTTTTTCTGATGTGATATGATTCTTTTTTCAAGTGATTTGTGGGAACTACTTTACAAATTTAGAAAAAAAAAGATGAAAGGTAATCAAAATAAGACTTTTGAGGTAACATGCTAATTAAGCAGCATTTCAATGATGACTCATTGCAATAAATAGAGAACACCCTCCAAAGGTACTTTAGAAAACCTTGCTTTTGCTCGTCTGTAGAAGAAATAGAAAGGTAAGTATGTTTGTATTTCTGTTTATATAATGTTGCGTCTTTCCCAGTCACAAGAGACATCAGAAAAAATGGCACTAATCTTATTAAAACAGAATTGCGTGAGTGTTAAAATGACAGTGAGTGTTGGTCCAATTATGTTTGATTCTATCTAGAGCTGGTAATTTTTTCTGCCTGAGATTTTTTTTTTTTGTGGAAGGCAATGTTTCATATAGATTAATGCTATTCATTTTATATAGATGTTCGAATATGTCATTTATCATTTTCTTACCAAATCGTATTGTGCTTTAAATTGCCGTATTGTATAATTTGCGTATGTTCTCTCTTCCAGGTTTCTTATGGTGATAGACCCTGTTTGAATTTTATCGTAGATAGCTGGCCAATATTGAGCACATTTATTCTGAAAAATAGATAAATTCAAGTATTTGGAACAAAAGGTTTGAGCAGGTTGAAATATAACATGTACACTAGACAAAATTGCTAACGCACCACTTGTTAATTTTTATTTGTGAATTGAACATTTGTCGGATCGGTTCTAGTGTATATGATATGGCTGTTTGTTAACATTGACTCTCATATCTCCTAGAAATCATCTGATACCTTAGTGTCCATACCAAATCCACGCCACTTCGGGTTGACCCAGTTTTGTGGAACAATTTTCAACTGATTTTATGCTGCTAACTTAATGCCTTGGTTATCTATAATCAACATTTTTATTAGGGATGTCAATGAGTACCCGGTTAACCGGGTACTCGATCGAACGTCCGAGTATCGAATACTTAACTGGTACTCGGTTACTCGGCTTTTTTCTTATTTCAAAGTACATATATATATATCAAAAAAACTATCAAAAATTAACTGAAATGTGCACACGATAATTAGAGTGTCATCGCCTACACCTGTAAAATGCACATTATCGCATCGCATCTGCATCGCAACAATAATATACGACAAGCGATCCCAACAACATCTGTTCCCTCTGGTTCGCTAGCGTGGTCATCACTGCAAAGATGTATAGCAGATTGATTAAACCGTCTTCGCAAACAAAAAAATGTAAATCATTTGTAATTATTGCTGTATCAAATTGATGTCTTTTGTGTGTGTGTATTTTTTAAAATAAATAAATTAGGTACAGTAAATCATTTTGGTTGCACTCGATGTGTTTTAAACATGCACTAAAAATGTAACAAAAAATAACATTAGGGTTTAACGCAGCTTAACTGAGTTTAAGAAAATTAACAGACCTGTACATGTATTTGAAATTTTACCGAGTACCCGGGTACTCGATCGGAAAAACGTCCGAGTAACTATTCTGCCATAGAAAAGGACGAGTTCTTTTTGCAGATAGCTAACCCTTTTATTTCAGATGAAATGCGGTAAAACACTACAAAAAAAAATAAACAATCATAAATTCACAATCAAAGAAATATCCAATCACAAAAACATACTATCTCAAAGAATAATGGAAATTATCCAAAATATTTAACAGATTTCATCCCACAAAGTTTATGAGAAAACATAGAGGGAACACACTCCTCCGAACTAAAGACAGTTATGACACTAACGTTAAACCATAGAATTCGTAATCAAGTAAAT